TCATCATCCGCAGCACTGCCGACGCTGAACCAATCCACCTGTTGATCTCCCGATCCCTCCTACCCTCACTCGTGAACAAGACCCCCAGATACTTAAACTCCTCCACTTGAGGTAGGACCTCTCTCCTGACCCGTAGTTGGCAAGCCACCCTTTTCCGGTCGAGAACCATGGTCTCAGATTTGGAGGTGCTGATCCTCATCCCAGCCACTTCACACTCGGCCGTGAACCTACCCAGCAAGAGCTGAAGGTCAGAGCTGTATGAAGCTAGGAGGGCCACATCATCCGCAAAAAGCAGAGACAAGATTCTCCTCCCACCAAACTCGACACACTCCACACCACGGCTGCGCCTAGAAATTCTGTCCGTAAAGGTAATGAACAGAACCGGTGACAAAGGGCAGCCCTGGCGGAGTCCAACCCTCACCGGGAACAGGTCCGACTTACTACCGGCTATGCGGACCAAACTCGCGCTCCTGTGGTAAAGGGACTCAATGGCCCTTAACAGAAAGCCACTCACCCCATACTCCTGGAGTGTCCGCCACAGGGTGCCCCTGGCGACACGGTCATAAGCCTTCTCCAAATCTACAAAACACATGTGGATTGGATGGGCAAACTCCCATGCCCCCTCCATCACCCTTGCAAGGGTATAGAGCTGGTCCACAGTTCCACGGCCAGGACGAAAACCACATTGCTCCTCCTCAATCTGAGATTCAACTATCGATCGGACCCTCCTCTCCAGTTCCTTGGAATAGACCTTTCCAGGGAGGCTGAGGAGTGTGATCCTCCTATAGTTGGAACACACCCTCAGGTCACCCTTCTTAAAGATGGGGACCCCCACCCCAGTCTGCCACTCCACAGGAACTGCCCCCGATGACCACGCAGTGCAGCAGAGACGTGTCAACCATGACAGCCCTACAACATCCATAGCCTTGAGATACCCAGGATGAATCTCATCCACCCCAGGGGCTCCGCCGCTGTGTAGTTGTTAGGCAACTTCTGCCCCCGAGATTGGACAGTCTATCCCAGGGCTCCCGGCTCTGGTTCCTCCTCGCAATGTGCGTAGGTGGGATTGAGGAGCTCCTCAATTAATTCCTTCCACCGTCCGACTATAGACCCAGTTGACATCAGCAGCTCCCCATCCCCACTGTAAACAGTGTGAGCGAGTTGCTGCCTTCCTCTCTTGAGGCGCCGGACAGTTTGCCAGAACCTCTTTGGAGCCAATCGATAGGCTTATCCATAGTCTTTCTCCATGGCCTCACCAAACTCCTCCCACACCCAAGATTTTGCCTCGGCAACTGCCACTGCTGCACCCCGCTTGGCTATCTGGTACCTGTCTGCTGCCTCCGGAGACCCACAGACCAGCCATGCCCTGTAGGCCTCCTTCTTCAGCCTGACGGCTCCCCGAACCTCTGGTGTCCACCAGCGGGTACGGGGGATGCCACCACGACTGGCACCGCCCACCTTGCGACCACAGCTAGCAACAGCCGACTCAACAATCGCAGAGTGGAACAAGGTCCACTCTGAGTCAATGTCCCCTACTGCTCTCGGGAAGCGGTCAAAGCTCTGCCGGAGGTGGGAGGTGAAGACCGTCTTGACAGGTTCTTCTGCCAGGCGTTCCCAGCAGACCCTCACTATGCGTTTGGGTCTGCCAGGTCTACGCGGCATCTTTCCCTGCCATCTGATCCAACTCACCACCAGGTGGTGATCAGTTGACAGCTCCACTCCTCTCTTCATCCTGGTGTCCAAAACATACGGCCGCAGGTCAGATGATACGACTACAAAGTCTATTATCGACCTGTGACCTAGGCTGCCCTGGTACTAAGTGCACGGATGGGCATCCTTATGTTCGAACATGGTGTTCATTATGACCAAACTGTGGCTTGCACAGAAGTCACATAACGAAACACCACTCGAGTTCAGATCAGGCGGACCGTTCCTCCCAACCACACCCTTCCAGGTCATGCTGTCCTTGCCCACGTGAGCATTGAAGTCCCCCAGCAGCTCAATGGAGTCCCCTGATGGAGGACTATCTAGCACTCATCCCAGGGACTCCAAAAATGGTGGGTACTCTGAACTGATATTTGGCCCATAAGTGCAAACAACAGTCAGGACCCGTTCCCCCATCATAAGGTGCAGGGAAGCTACCCTCTCGTCCCCCGGGGTAAACCCCAACACACAGGCAGAGAGTCTTGGGGCTAGCAAAAAGCCAACCCCAGCCCTCCGCCTCTCACCCGGAGCAATTCCAGCAAAGGAGAGTGTCCAACCTCTCGCAAGGACTTGGGTTCCAGAGCCATCACTATGTGTATCTAAAATAAGGATGGGAGGCACATCGTTTAGTTATCAGGCTCCTCTCCTGTGGAACCAGCTCCCAGCCTTGGTCCGTGAGGCAGACACCTTGTCTACTTTTAAGAATAGGCTTAAAACATTCTTATTTGATAGGGCTTATGGTTAAAATCTGATGTTAGCCTAGATCTGGACAAGTGGGGGAGTTGAGGGAGGTAGAGTGTACAGTCGGTAAAGACAACTCTCCCTTGCCCTGCCTCCAACATGCCTCCATCTAAAAAGGCTAGGTTATCCAGAGTTATCTCTGTAGTTATGCTGCTATAGGCTTACCCCAGCTTTCCACGGGAGCCGTCAGCAGCACGTTACTGCAGCAGCACGTTATAGCTGCTGATAGGAACCGCTGTGGTCAACAGAACCTTTTCCACTGGAGCCGTCAGCAGCCGTCAGCAGCGCGAGTCGGCCGCGTCTCAGGAGCAGCATGTCGCGGCCTTTACGCGCCGGTTCTATTTTCTACGCGGGACGCCTCTGAAACGGGTCAAGTTTGACATTTTTGGGGAAGGAAAGACAGGAAATTGGACGCGGAAATGGAGCGAAGCTACCGAGATTTTCAGAATAAAGAACGTGCTGCCTTCCGGTTGCTTTACTTTTAAAAAATGTTACTAACTGTGCGTCCCCGTGAGAAGTTATCACCTAGCTAGCGGTCTCCTTTGTTTTTCAGGTCCGTATTGGCGATTATAAAACGGACAGAACATAAAACACAAATCATGTTGTAGTTTTCTCCTGCTTGTTGTTGTGTTTACTGACGAAGTCACTCGTGTGACTTCGTGCTCTGTCGGTGACAGCTGCTCCCCTGCTGCTTCGCGTCCCGTGGGAAGGGCCAAGCAGCAGCTTACGCGAGCAAGACGTGCTGCTGCAGTAACATGCTGCTGACGGCTCCCGTGGAAACCCGGGGTTAGACTGCTGGAGGATACACTGACCACTTTTCACACTCTACTACTTTCTTCTACAATCTGCTCTTTAACTGTATTATTTCCTGCTATTTCAGCTGTTAACTTTATTTTTTCTCTTAAGTGTTTTTCTCACCAGAAGAAGCTACAGTGATGTTCTACTGAGCTGTGGTGGCCTCATGGAGGGGGCCATCGTCTAGCACACTGCTGCTAACCACTTAAACTTACTCCCTCTCCTGATAATAACTTTTTGCTTTCTTTGATGTTGGATGTGCTACTGCTAGTTTACCCGTTTAACAATAGAATCACTAGGATAAATACAATAAAGTTTATCTCTAACCAAATAGAATATTTACTAAGCAATCACAATGTAACCATTGACACATTGCTTGGTGTGTGTGTGTGTGTGTGTGTGTGTGTGTGTGTGTGTGTGTGTGTGTGTGTGTGTGTGTGTGTGTGTGTGTGTGTGTCTGCTCTCTCTTCTCGATCCCCAGTGAGTTTTGGTGGATGGCTGCTTATACTGAGCCAGGATCCTCTGGAGGTTTCTTCCTGTTAAAAGGGAGTTTTCCTCTCCACTGTCGCTATATGCTTGCTTAGTATGAGGATTGTGGTAAAGTCACTGACACTAGTCTTTGACTTGATGCAATTTGCTGGGTTCCTTATATAGGAAACATTTTTTCTGATTGGCTCAATGAACTGGCCTGAATTGGAATGTTTATTATGTGAAGTGCCTTGAGACGACTCTTGTCGTGATTTGGCGCTATATAAATAAAATTGAATTGAATTGTCGAGGTGAGTCCGACTATATCTAGCCGGTACCGCTCAACCTCTGCCACAAGCTCCTGCTCCATCCTCACCAGCGAGGTGACGTTCCATGTCCCAAAAACAGTTTCCTTGTCCAGGCATCGCACCGCCAAGGCTCCCGCCTCGGTCTGCCACCCAATCCACACTGCACCGGACTCTTCATGTTCCTCCTGCGGGTGGTGGGTCCACAGTTGGCTGAGCCCATGTATCCGGTTCGGGCTGTGCCCGGCCGGGGCCCATGGGCGAAAGCCCGGCCACCAGGCACTCGCCCACGGGCCCCAACCCCAGGCCTGGCTCCAGGGTGGGTCCCCGGTAACCCTACGGGCTGGGTGCTCCGACTCTTCGATTGTACATCCATGAAAGGTCCTCTGATGATGATGTATGATGGGATAAGAATCAGCATCTCTAAATCTGAGACCATGGTCTTGATTCGGAAAAGGGTAGAATGCCATCTCCGGGTCAGGGATGAGGTCCTGCCCCAAGTGGAGGAGTTTAAGTCTCTCGGGGTCTTGTTCATGAGTGAGGGAAAACTGGAGCGTGAGATCGATAGGCGGATTGGTGCTGCATCTGCAGTGATGCGGGCGTTGTACCGGTCTGTCGTAGTGAAGAGAGAGCTGAGTCAAAAGGCGAAGCTCTCGATTTACCGGTCGATCTACGTTCCTACCCTCACCTATGATCATGAGCTTTGGGTAGAGACCGAAAGAACGAGATCGCAGATACAAGCGGCCGAAATGAGTTTTCTCCGAAGAGTGGCTGTGTGTGTGTGTGTGTGTGTGTGTGTGTGTGTGTGTGTGTGTGTGTGTGTGTGTGTGTGTGTGTGTGTGTGTGTGTGTGAATAACGGTTGTAAAGCACCTCTGGAGGTTCTAGGACTCATGAAGCAGCTTTATGAATAAATCAGGACGGTTTGTTTGTTGTCTAAACATCCAGATTTAAAACATCTGAAAATCCCAGTCTTCGGTTTCACTCACCACTGAATGTAGGTGTGATTGTGCTCCAGCTTGTCATAGTCTCCTTTCCATTTGGTAAGGATCTCCTCTATGTAGATGCCTGGGAAGAGACTGGGAATCATCAGCTGTTCCTCAGTACCACGTCTGTGTGTTACACACTAGGGGTCAACTGATTATATATATATATCGGCCGATTAATTGGGTCAATATTTAGCATTTTTTCATCATCAGCATTGACCGATAAGCCTCTTTAATGGAGCTGATTTAAAGTCAGGCACCTTCGTGGAAAGCCACGTGGAGAGCTTGCGAGGCCAGGCGCTTACTAGGCCACAGTCCTTCCTTGGTCAAAGGGTTAAATGGAACAGACTTGCATCACATGACCGCAGCTTCAGCCTAACTTGTTAGCTCTGGTTTTATAAATTTAATTATTTTCCTGTGTGGGAGTTAGAGTTAATCCGTCAAAATAAACAGTCAAATGGAAATATCTGTAACCCTGCCATTTAACTGTTTTGCCTTCTTGTGAAGATTGTTGCAAAGAGAAACAATTAAACTTGATTAACCCCAGAGCCACGCACACTGCGCTGTACTCCATGACTGTAAATGAGGGGAAAACTGATTTAATTGGATCCTTTTCTTACCTTTTCAACATGGTTTAATGTAAAGTTTCATTCAGTACAAACTTTAGTTACACCAATCGAACGAGACAGAGCCTGTATTTGTATTCTGAACAGTTTAAACATGTTTAAAACAGAGAAATGCATGACGCGTCTACAATCCACACCTGCTCAACTACTATGGAAATTAAACAAGATGAATAACATAAAATTATTTTAGGCACAGACTAACTTCTGGGTAAATTTCATACAAAGTGTTTTATTAATTATCTTCTGTTGAAATATAACTGACATACACAAAAAACAGGTATTAGTTGCTGGTCAAAGCAGCTCACGGCTGTTATGGGGTGGGCCCGAGTGCAAATGGGTGGGCCCAGGCCCGATAGGCCCACCTGTAATGCCACGGTAAGGCCATCGGCTGACCACGACCGCCTCATATCAGTATCAGCAATAGAAAAACCAATTTAAGTCGACCTCTATTACACACCCCTTCAGCTCCACAAAATTTACTCTGTGTGTGTGTGTGTGTGAGAGAGAGAGAGAGAGAGAGAGAGAGAGAGAGAGAGAGAGAGAGAGAGAGTCACAGAAAACTTGTACCATCAGGAACCAGAGGGATTTTGTTCATGTAGAAGCGCAGATTACGGTACTCGTTGGGCTGCCGGGACTTCCTGTAGTTCTGAAGTCACACATGGAACAAATCTATGTTAGTGCCTGAGTGTCTAAATCAATGTGTGTGCGCGCTCGTGTGTGTGCGTGTGTGTGTACCGGGTAGCTGTGACGATATTTGTAGAGATCCCGGGCAGCATAGAAACTCCTCTTCATCTTGGGAGTAGGCTCTGGAGAGTCAGTAGGCTGAGAGAGGAGGACAGTCAGATAAAAAGAGAAAAAGAAAGAGTGAAAGAAAAGAGAACATAACAAGTGAATAAAATAAAGTATAAAAAACACCTTAAAACCAAATCCAAAGAAAAAACAGATGTAATGACGCTCTCACTTCTGGGCCCTCATTTATCAGATGTTACTACAAACTGTGCTATATTCCCTCCTATGAATGAAATTTAGAATGTGTGTACGAACAGTCAAAATCCTGATTTATGAAACGTGCGTTGGCCTCTCACACTGATGATAAATCCCACTGTGCGTACCCAGGTGCTCATGTCTGTTCACCGTCATTTACATACAGAAACGTCCTCAATTAACCATATTTGGTCACGTTAAATCCTCAACATGTGAGGGGATTCCCCGTTTTTTCCCCCCAAAAAAACAGGAAAAACTTTATTGACAACGAGACTGAAACACTGGCTGCTGAAGCGCAAAAGAGCCAAACAAGTTGCGGAGGTTATAAACGTGGTCGGGACAGAGATTTTATTTTATTCTACTTTTACGTTTGGAATTTTCATTGCTTTTGTTAATTTTTTCAGTTTTTAATTTGTTGCTGTGCAACACTTTGGTGGCCGTACGGGGCTCTATAAATAAATGATGATGATGATGATAATTCAGGGGGCTTATTTATCTCTCAGAGTGCCATAAAAACGGCACTTCTTCTGTTCATTGAACACCACATTTTACATCACACAGCTGCTCTCCTCCTCTGAATGGATTAAATTATGACATACTGTCATGGATTTTATCAATATGTTTATCAATAACCCATTACCTTTTGCCACTGATCAGTGACCACTCACAGCCAAAGCAGTGTCAATATGTTGACATCTGTACGAAGTCCTGAATGGGATGAATATGAATGGAGACACAACATCTGAGAGGATCGGGACATTGTACCTCCCGCTCAATTTCCCCCTTCCAGAATTTACCCTGAAGTTCCGACAATGGAAACACACCCATAAATCCATCAGATTAAATGCATAAACATGTATCGAGTCTTGTCCAGCATCAACCTTAGTGCCACTCTATCAGTCTGAGATTTAGAAACACTGGCACAGCTGTCTGTTAACACACATGTAGGTGATCTATCGATCTATCGATCTATCTATCTATCTATCTATCTATCTATCTATCTATCTATCTATCTATCTATCTATCTATCTATCTATCTATCTAAAGAGCTAGAGTAACATGTCTCAAATATTCCACAGGCACTTTCATTTTTTATACATTTATAATTAATGTCACAGAAATGAGCCAGTATGTGCTAAAATCATCTGATTTTAGCACATACTGGCTCAAGGAAATTATTTAAAAATATGAAAAAGTTGCTAAGTCCTTTAAGGGTTGGACTGAAAGGTCAAACAAACCACCAAATACCTCCCGTGTGCAGCCACTGCTGCAGCTCAGTGGATGGGTCAGATGTGAAGATGTAATTTCACTAATGACGATTACTAATGCGACTTTAATATCTGATCTAATTCTGGGTAGTTATTAAAGCTTCAACGGCTAACTTGGTAAACGAATTACTGTAGTGTAGCTATAAATATATTGTGGGGATAAAGAAAGAATAAAGTGGCTCTCTGTCAATAACACGTTTCAACCATTGGACCATCCGGCCAGTCTCGCGCGGCTCTTCCATTAGACCATGAGAGCTAGCCTGACAGAAGAATAAGCCTTGGGTGTACATACCGGTATTCCAGAGGGGTAATGAGGTCATCAGCAGACTAAACATCAGTAAGAGCTGATCAGTAAGAACTGGAGCTCTCACCATGGTCCATGTGACATCTGTTACCAGGGTTACTAGCCTCAGCATCATCTGGTTGGCACCACTGCTCCTCTTGGTACCGAACCCTAACCCCGGAGAACCCCGTTCTTGCTTCAGTTACCTGCGGGGAAGTGTCTCGGCTTTGTCCGGTGGCCCGCTCGCTCTCCACCGGGCTGACGGACTCGGAGATCCCGCTGTCATCTTCAGCCGCAGGTCCGTCACTCTCGGAGTCCGATCCCCACGTCGAGTCACATTCCTCCACGGTGCTCGGCTCCTTGGAACGCCAGCTGCCCACGAGGTTTCCCATTTACCTAGCATGCAGCTCTCTGCGTCCTTCCTGTCCTCTGATACTACATCGCTGTGGCGCTAACCACTGTGCAGACAGGAGCGTTTTAACTGCACAAAAGGGGATTTCCAGCTCAGCCGCCGATGCTGGGTGGTATGCAGGGTGATTAGTGCCGCCAGGAGGAGGTCTTAAAGGCACAGACAGTAAGAGAAAGATTTACGTGTTAGCACAAACACAAACAGGTCCCAGCTATTTCTTCTCTTTAAAGCAATTATGTGCAATAAAAGCTGATGAGTCCAAAATCATTTTCAAAACATTTTAATTTACCAGCATGTTTCATAAGACTTCCTGTTAGCCAGGGTGCCCCCGAGGGGTGGCCAGGGGTGGCCATGGCCACCCCTAGAAAATTGCTGCCCCTCCCCCCAAGGACAAGCCAGTGTTAACAAATCATATTAATGTTCAGTCAAACCATATATTGATCTTGTTTATTCAAAACATAAATGTAAAACAAAATAAAATTACAATTAATGAGTAAAGAAATGATCAGAATTTTAAAAAATACATGTTTCTGCTGCTCACCATTTAAAAAAAGTTTTTATCTCCATTGGTTTTTTACCACAGCAACAGGTGAATTAACCTAAAAATTTTAAATTAAATTATGGATAACATTTTAAATAACTGAAATGTATTTTTCTAAAATGTTTGTGTTTGTAACATTTAAGTTACTGTTATTTTAATAAAAACGAATAAAATCGGCGCAATGCAGTACATCGCCATAGACTAAATTCTCCCAGCGTTACCACAAGGACCAATTTGGTGTGCCACCCCAAAAGTTTCTTTGGCTCCATTTGGCCACCCCTATCAAAATTTTCTGGAGGCGCCCCTGCCTGTTAGCGAAGAGGTTAGATTTAGATTCAGTCCAGCTCAGTTTATTTAGAAATCACAACAAGAGTCATCTTCAGGCCCTTCACAAAGCAAACATCCCAATTCTATCTACCTAGTTCATTGAATTCAGTTCATTATACCAGTTAGTTGAGTTTCCCATATAAGGAAACCCAGCAGATTGCATCAAGTCACAGCGACTTTACAGAAATCCCCATACGAAGCAAGCAACGTGGTGAGAAAAGGAAAGGAAGAACAGAAATGAGTAAATATTTGACTTTTCTATTTGGGACGTTTTTGTTTCTTCAGTAAATCCTTGATGTTGGAAGCTGTGGTACATACTACATGAGGACAAGTTTATTTGGTCGTTTAGCACCTTGTGGGGTTCTTCAACCCTTGTTGCTATCATGTCCGAACCATCTGAACCTATGAAACTCAACTTCACCAATAATGCAACCTTTGGCCTAGGTTCACCTGCTCTCTGTTCACTCTGTGTGTGTGTGTGTGTGTGTGTGTGTGTGTGTGTGTGTGTGTGTGTGTGTGTGTGTGTGTGTGTGTGTGTGTGTGTGTGTGTGTGTGTGAAACTCAAATAGAAAATCTGTGACTAGGGTAAATTATTCTTGAAAAAATAAGTATAATTCAGAGTAAATTAGAAGATTAGTGAAAAAATCTGGATGAGGTGATTGAGAGTCAAATAGCCTTCTGAGTGGTTTTGGTTGCATTAGAAAATACAGGAAGTGAAGTGTCAGCAGCTATGTAGTTTCTGTTGTAGTTTTCGAGAGTTCATGACATGGTGGAGTTATGATCAGAAGCTGATTCATAGTTGTTTTAGTGAAGAAGCATTGATGTGTGTTGCAGTTGTGAATGATTTGGTTGTTCATTTCCAGTATATGTTGTCCATGGTGGAAATCCCAGGAGGACAGAACAACATAAATCAGAGAAAATGCTGTGATACAGAACAAAGAAACTCTCTCAAACACACTCATGGTTCCTCTTTCTGGGCTTGATCTCATCTGAAGGTTGAGGAACAATCTGAGCAGAAACTATTGTCAGAAAAGCATCACTTTATTCAAAGATGAACCCACAAGTTTAATATGTGGCAGCACAGAGACATTTGACACAACTGCACTAACACCTATTGATTTACTCAGTTTTATCATTTGAACAAACATTCAATTCAATTCAATTCAATTCAATTCAAAAATATTTTATTAATCCCAGAGGGAAATTAGAGCAATCCCAGATGGAAATTAGAGACATTCGTGTGACATGTGAGACATTCAAAATCATTTTTTTAGGAGAAACAGTGAGAGAACAAGTAACCCCTTCTTTTCCACTAGATGTGAAATGTACAACGAGGCAATTAGCCATCGTTATAGTCAAAGGCTGAGGAACGAGTTTAATATGGGGGGGGGGGGGGGGGGCATTTAGGAAATCTAACAAATTGGTGATAGGTCAATAGGTCAATATGTACACTCAGCTAAAGTAAGGAACATCATACTAATACGGTGTTTGACTCCCTTTGGTCTTCAGAACTGCCTTAATTCTATGTGGCGTTGATCCAACAAGGTGCTGAAAGCAATCTTTGGAATGCTTTTATTTATTTATTTCTTTGCTTCCAGTCGGTAACAAGATGGCGCCTGTGCTTGGCTTAGCCGCGGCCACCGGCTACTTTTTCAAACTTTTCTCCACTAACCTCCTCTTTTCCACCTTGCTCCTGTCTGTGATCCTCTTCAGTAGTGTCCCTGCTACCATTTCCTATGATTGCCAGACTATTTTATCCTTCCATTTGCTCACGATCGCCCAAGATGCACCGAGGACATACCTCCCTCTTTGTTTACCTGAGCGGCGCGCTGGCCCGGAGCCAAACGAAGATTCCTACCAGGGCGCCTCCAGCGATGTTTATTCAGTCCCGGGAAAACGTCGGAGGAAAAGAGGTAAACGAGCAGGAATCAAGGTGAGAATAAGACTTCTCTTAAAGCGTGGTTTATCTAGTAAACATCAGCGTGATCTTCTAGCTTCTTGTCATTTGTTTGGCGACTTGAGCGCCACTTCCGCATTCCCGCCAGGCCGCGTTGCGGCGCAGTTTCTCCGTCCAAGTTTTTTAAGGTCTGTGTATCCACATTCTTCAGTGGTTTCTCCTCCTGTTCCCTCCATAAGAGGTTTTTATAAACACCGTGGATCTAACCCTGCTAATTTACGTCCACTAACTCCAGCTGTTTCTGTAGTTTCTGATTCCTCCACCTCACTCAGCATGGCTCTATTAAATACCCGCTCTGTTAACAACAAGTCCTTCCTGCTCAATGATCTAATTATCTCTAAAAACCTGGATTTTCTGTTTCTGACTGAAGTTTGGCAGCAAACATCTGATTATTCTGCTCTGATTGAACTTTGCCCGAGTGGTTATTCTTTTCTTAGCCAGCCCCGGGGTTCTGGTCGTGTGGAGGCCTAGCTGTAGTTTTCAGAGACCATCTTCCATGTAGCTCTACAACCTCTGGTCACTTTGCTTCCTTTGAACTGCAGCTGATTAAAGTTGGGCGTAAGGACCCGTTCTACTGTGCTGTGGTCTATCGTCTACCTGGTCCAAACAGTTCTTTCCTTCAGGAGTTTAGTGACTTTCTATCCTCCACTGTGAAGCTGTCCAGACTGGTGATTGTTGGTGATTTTAACATCCACGTTGATGATCCCTCTGATCACTTTGCCTCATGGACACCTTCGGCTTTACCCAGCATGTTTCTGGCTCCACACACACCAGGGGACACACTCTACACCTTGTTTTTACCCTGAGTCTAAATGCTGACAGTGTTTGTCCTGAGGACGTTTATATTTCAGATCACCATTGCATTTTCTTTAACTTGTCAGTTTCTGCGTCCCCACCTCCTGCTCGCCGTATGGTTAGTTCTCGTTTTCTTAATGAGAGCACAGCTAGCAATTTTTCTGTTGCTTTGATCCACCCTGTTCTTCTGAAAACGGCCCAGATTCCTTAACTTCTCAGTTTAACGAGCACTGCCTCTCCATTCTGGACAACATCTGTCCTGTCAGAACCAGATCAGTTCCTGCAGTGAACCCTACTCCCTGGTTTAATGACAGCCTTCACAGCCTGAAGCGCCAATGCAGAAAAATTGAGCGCTTGTGGAAGAAAACCCATCTCCACGTCCATCTGCTGCACCTAAAGGATCTTCTGATATCCTTTAACTCTGCAGTCAGAGATGCTAGGGGTTCCTACTTTTCCAACCTGGTGTCCCAGATCAAAGGGAACCCCAAGGTGCTGTTTAACACTATCAGCAGCATCGTCTCTCCTGCCTCTCCTACAGCCTCCATCCGCTCTGTTACATACTGTGAAAACTTTCTGTCTTTGTGGACAAAGTCAATGAGGTCAGATCTAGCATCTTTCCTTCAGCCTTATCGCTGCCTCTCCCGACTCCAACCAGGCCCATCATCCTAGATAGCTTTGCTCCTGTTTCTTTGCCTGAGTTAACCAAACTAGTTAACTCTATGAAGACCTCTGCATGCCCCCTCGGCATCTTACCCTCATCTTTGTTTAAAAGTGCTTTTCAGTCCATCGGTCCCAGCGTGCTCTCTATAATTAAAGCTTCTCTGGTCTCTGGTCAGGTCCCTGCTTACTTTAAGAACGCTGTAAGCCACCCACTTCTTAAATAACCAAGTCTTGACGCCTCTCTCCATAGCAGCTTCAGACCCATCTCTAAACTTCTGTTCATCTCCAAGATCTTGGAAAAGGTTGTGGCTAAACAACTCACAGCTGCTCTTGATGAACATAACATCTATGATAGCTTCCAGTCAGGTTTTCGTAGAGCTCATTCTACTGAAACTGCTCTTCTTAGGGTCTCTAATGACCTTCCGACTCACAGTGATGCAGGGGACTGTTCTGTTCTGGTCCTGTTGGACCTGACTGCAGCCTTTGACACTGTTGACCATCACCTGCTACTGGAGAGGCTGAGAGACTGGGTAGGCCTATCAGGATCTGCTCTGGAGTGGTTCTCCTCTTATCTTTCCGAGCGCTCCGTTTCTGTGGCCGTCTCCAAGTTTATGTCCTCCACCACCTCCCTTACCCATGGTGTCCCACAAGGTTCTGTGCTGGGGCCTCTGCTCTTCCTCCTCTGTCTGCTTCCTCTTCAGCACATCCTGAGTTCCTTCAAAGGAATCTCCTACCATCTTTACGCAGATGACATCCAACTGTACATCTCTTTTAAGCCCCATGAGATATCTAAGCTGCAGCTGTTACACACCTGCTTAGACTCTATCAAAACCTGGATGGCTGGGAGCTTCCTACAGCTGAATGAAGATAAGTATTGGTCAGCTTGCTTCTCACACCAAACCTTCTGTCAGGAATCTTGATGTGACCTTTGACCCAGCTCTCACCCTGGATTCTCATGTCAGTTCTCTTGTTCGTTCTTCCTTCTTCCATCTTAGGAACATTGCTAAGCTGAGTCCCATTCTGTCCCACTCTGAACTTGAGACAGTTATCCACACCTTCATCTCCTCTCGCTTAGACTACTGTACCTATCTTTTCACGTGTCTGAGCAGAACCTCCCTGAACCCTCTACAGGTGGTTCAGAATACCTGCGCTCGGCTTCTGACCAAGTCCTCCAAACACACCTACATCACCCCGCTTCTCCTCCAGCTTCATTGGCTGCCATTCAGCCTCAGGGTTCATTTCAAGATCCTGGTTCTGGTCTATAGGGCCTTACATGGACAAGCACCATCTTACATTGGTGATCTTCTTAGTCCCTACACCCCCAGCAGGTCCCTGAGGTCCAGTGATCAAAGCCTACTGGTTGTGCAGCACCAGGCTAAAGACCAAAGGTGACAGATCATTTGCTGCTGTGGCCCCCAGACTCTAGAACTCTCTCCCCCTTAGCCTGAGATCAGTGGACTCAGGGGTCTCCTTTAAAAAGCAGCTGAAAACTCACTTGTTCAGGCTGGTTTTTGTGCGACCTTCATCACCCTTTCCTTGTTCTTTGGGATTTTTGCCCCTGCCTGTGTTCTGGCCTGCAGGTTAAAGGTTAACTTATGGTCATTTTTTATGAAATAATTGGCCTTTTGGTACTCTACAATATCAACATACAATCCTATATCAACATAATAATAATAATAATAATAATAATAATAATAATAATAATAACCATCGTCGTCGTCTTCCTCCGCTTATCCGGGTCCGGGTCGCGGGGGCAGCATCCCAACTAGGGAGCTACAGACCGTCCTCTCCCCGGCCTTCTCCACCAGCTCCTCCGGCAGGACCCCAAGGCGTTCCCGGACCAGATTGGAGATGTAACCTCTCCAACGTGTCACGGGTCGACCCGGGGGCCTCCTGCCGGCAGGACATGCCCGAAACACCTCCCCGGGGAGGCGTCCAGGAGGCATCCTGACCAGATGCCCAAACCACCTCAACTAACTCCTTTCGATCCGGAGGAGCAGCGGTTCTACTCCGAGTCCC